TCCGGGAACGGAATGGATGAGGCTGGCTCCACGGAGACCCAGTCCCCTCACCGGGCAGGGCCGGGCGGGGCCCGCAGCTGAGGGTCTTGGCTAAGGGTGCCCTCTGCTCCGAGCCCTCCTCCTCTCTGTTTCTGTTTCTGTCGCCGCGCATCCCCGTCTGTTCTCCCTCTCCTCCCCTTGCCTCTCTTGCCCCAATTTCTGCTCCACGCTCCCCTGGGGCAGAATCCCCCCAGTTCCTGGCCCCCGGGCCCAGGGGGAGAAAGTCCTGCTCCTGGAGGCCTTGGCCTTCCTGCCCTCCCCCGCCCATGCCCTCCCCATCTACACTCCCCTGCCCTCTCTGTACTCACAGGAGGAATCGACCCTGCTCAACCAAGAGTTTGCCGAGGTCTGGGGCCTCAAGGCCAAGGAACTGTTCGACCCAATCTGGCAGAACTTCACTGACCCGATACTGCGAAGGGTCCTCAGTGGCGTGCGCATTCTGGGCCCTGCCAACCTGCCCCTGGAGAAGCGGCAGCAGGTGGGCCCCGTGGACTTGAGGGTAGAGGAAGAAGTGGCCGGTGCCCCCCAGTGCCCAACTGAGATGGGGAGGGGAGCTTGGGCGGGCTGCCTTTCGTGGTCAGCGGACCCTGGGATCGGCAGGGGAAACCAGCCAGAGCATAGAATGACTTCCTGGAGCATTGCTTTTCCTTGGAGATGGGACGGAATGTTACTTGATGCTACAGCAAGTATTATGGAGTAAAAAGCAAACTGCAAATAAACCGTAAAAGATGGAACCAGCGTTTTCAGAATTTCTCCCTAGGCAGGTTTGCTTTAGAGATGTCCTTAGAAAGAGCAGGGACTGGGAAGGCATCAAAGCCACCGAGAGTGAGAGGGATTTGCCCTCACTTTGAGGTGGGAGCCGAGCCCTAACTCTCAGGACACTTGTCTCCACCTCCAGCGGCTGCCTTCCTTGGTCAGAAGTGCTCCTGGCGCCACTGAGTGGTCTGAACAAGCCACATCCCCTCTCCGAGCCTTCATTTCCTTTTAGCAAAAAGAGGAGGGATGGCCAAGTGGTCCTGGGGCTATTGGTCACTAACATGTTCTCAACTCTCCCTAGTACAACTCTCTGCAGAGCCACATGAACAGAGTCTTCACTTCTGCCAGGGTCTGCTACCCCAACATGAATGACAGCTGCTGGTTCCTGGACCCAGGTACAGCCCTGTGGCTGCTGCCTCTCTCTAGCCCTTCCCATCACCCTGCACCCTGCTTTTCCTGGCAAACTGACTTCTAGAATCTCCAGCCCCATCCACCCACCCCTCGGTGCTTTGGCCTCTCCCATTGCCACTGGCCTTCCTCCTGACTGCTTCTTGTTGTTTTTCCCTTTCATGGGTGCTCTCAGTCTCCCCAAGGGCCCTCCGTAGGCCCTAGACGCCTCCCAGCTTCTGATTATATCCTCCTCTTCTCCCCTCACTCCCCACCCCCTTGTCCCAGGCTGGCTGAGTCAGCCACTCCATCCAATGAGCCATGAAGGGTCTGTTCGGGTTTCGGCCTTTGGATGTGCTCTTAGTGTAACCACCTTCGATGGGCATTTCCCTGGAGACAATGACCCTGGCTGGGTGCTTGCTTCAGAGAGCTCCCAGCCTCATGCCACCCAGCGTATAGATCGCCCTTGGCTTTGGGGGTATCGCGATGTTGAGGAAGTGGGTGGAAATGGAGAGGACCAATGTGGGAGCTCTGATGAAGGCTGACGCCGACTTCGACACAGAAGTCTTCTAACTGACCCTGCTCCTTTGCGTCTCAGACCTCATGCATGTCCTGTCTGTCACACGAAACTACGGGCTGCTGCTGTACGTCTGGGAGGGCTGGCACAATGCCGTGGGCATCCCACTGAAACCCCTGTTCCAGGAATTCACTGCCCTCAGCAATGAGGCCTTCAAGCGAGATGGTGAGCATGTCCTGCCCCCCCCCCTTGTGTGGGTGCCGCCCTCCCCAGCTTGAAAGGTGTTCTCCCACCCACTATCTCCCTTGAGCCCCAACTCCTGAGGCAGACAGACCAGCTGTCGGGATGGCTCCATCCACTGGCCAAAGGTCGCACAGATCATGGATGGCAGAACCAAGCTTGAGCCCCGTCTGCCTTCTACCAGGCTGCTGCCTTGCCCTCTTCCCTGCCCCTCCTGGCACTCCCCCCCTCCCCAGCACTCGTCCTTGCCTCTTGGCTCTCCAGGATCTAGTTAGCTGGAGTTCAACTCCTGGTTAGAAAAGTATAGACCTCAAGCCAGCCTTTCCACCAGCTGGCAGAGGCACAGGCCCCGAGCCAGGAGAGAGGGATGCTGGGAGGCGGAGTGTCAGAGCCTCTGGCCTGAGCTGCACCCCACCACCACCCCCTGCCAGGCTTCGCAGACACAGGGGACTACTGGCGCTCCTGGTATGAGTCGCCCACCTTAGTGGAGGATCTGGAGAACCTCTTCCATCAAATAGAGCCCCTCTATCTGAACCTCCATGCCTACGTCCGCCGCAAGCTGCACCAGCGCTACGGGGACAGATACATCAACCTCAGGGGACCCATCCCTGCTCACCTGCTGGGTAAGGACCCGGCCTTTCCTCCACACGTCCCAGGCATTGTCCTCGTCGTCTCCCATTTTAGAGCACCCCACTGTTCCCTCCCACACGTGTGAGCCCTTGAGGCTCGTCCAACGCAATCATAAAGCAGGAGATCCTCCTCCTTATCACTCCTGCTGTCCAGACGGGGACCTGAGGCTCGGGGCACATGAATGACTTGGCAGAGGGCAGAGGGAAGAGGGCTAGTCACAGGCAGAGCCAGGAGTCACACTGAGGCTTTGACTCCAGGGGGAGGAAGAAGAATCATAGTTTGTGCCCCAGGAGGCCATCCCCAGGTTCCCACCTCCGGCCTGGAAGGCAGGGATCCCAGCACCATCAGAAAGGGCCCGACAGCCTTGCCTGGGCTCCTGCTTGGCACCGGGGCACCCAGAGCACTTGGCACTATGAATGGGACAGATGTGGAGATTCCTGGCCTCAGCCCCAGGGTCTGGCTGCGGGGGGCGCGGGGGGGTTCAGTGCCGGGCAGGGGGAAGCAGGCTCTGGCCGAACAGGGGACAAGCTCTCCGGCTCTCCTCCTTCCTCTAGGGGACATGTGGGCCCAGAGCTGGGACAACATCTACAACATGGTGGTGCCTTTCCCTGACAAGCCCACTCTCGACGTCACCGAAACTATGGTGAAGCAGGTATGGTGCACCCTGGGCCAGGGTGGAGGCAACAGAAGGGAGACGGGGGGAGGGGCGAGAAGGGGCCATGTGCAGGGGACAGGCTGGGTGGACACTCAGTCCCTCCCTTTCTACAGAGCAGCAGCCTGAGTGTGTGTACAGCGATAAGCTGGGCTGAATGTCCTCGGGGAGGTGCCCGTCCCCCTCTC